ACTAGTTATACAAGACTTCTGGAGAACAAACTTATGTAAAAGCAGAGAAAGTTTCATCTGTGCTGCTCTTTAGCTTTATCACTGAGAGTGAGCAGAAGAAGACAGACTCAGAAAAGAGTGGTCACCGAGTGGCCCATCACATCCACCCACACCGAGCTACAGTGGTGTCAGGGTCGGGGTGTAAAGCCGCCAATGATGTCACGTGGTGAACTCAATTATAGTGCCTGACAAGAGTGAGTAGCTAGCCTTAAGCTTTACTGAGCACAGGTAGGAGCATACAGTGCAGTAGTCCAAAAACATAATCCAAGTCCATATTAACAGTCCAGGGTCAGTACCAGCAAACTCACACAGCCAAGGAATCCAAAACCAAGAAGTCAGAGAGGGGAGTCCGATAGTCCAAACACAAAAAACAGTCTGAATCAGAAGGGCAAGGCAGTACTCGGTGGTCAATGGCAATCCGAGGCCAAAACAGGAAAAACAGGCACAATCAAAAAACGCTGACATGAGTTAGAATGATCTGGCAGCTTTCCGGTGGGGGAAAGCTGCCTATAAAGGGGTGAAAACAATAAGTGCTGATTAAAGTAAAAAGTCCAAAACTAATAGGTGAAACTGAAACAGGATGTCAAAATAAAAGCATGAGAATGGAAGCCGACGGGACAGAGTCATAACAAATGGTTCCTTGGCTGTGCCCATTTCTATCTGCGTTATATATTCTTTCTTTTTTTTCCACTCAGCTCATGTCTCCGGCCAGACCATTTATCTCAGCGCCTGTAGCTCACCTTGCTTTCTGCAGTCTTAAAGGATAACTTTGGTTTTTCTGAACCTGCTATACCTCCCCTAAACGTGGGCATGGTGACTCTATAGCTAGTGCTAATTTTGCTATCACAACCTCCGCTGTAGAAATTCCAGGAAATGAAAAGTCACATTTAATGACATCACCAGGGCAAATGGCTAGCCTTGGAGTGCTCAGAATCAACATGATTTCAGTTTAAAAAATTTTCACGTTTATTTCTGAGTCAGAAGGAAAGCAGATACAAAATTTGGGCTGCTGTCTGCAGTAGCCAGTACAGCTACTGTAACTGCAAAGCAATATACATCTAGGTCAACTTGCCAGCTGACCTGATGACCAGGAGGTCATGGAAGGTGGGCTCCACATAGTCCAGTTTAAAGAATAATAGTCTCTGACTTTTTAGTTCATTCACTTTTCTCCTGCTACAGTGTTTGCAGGGACAGTTTAGTCCATTCTTTATGTTGCTAGTCCATGTTGGATAAGGATTTGGGTAGGACTGGGTGATTAATCCAATTAATGTGCTGCTCTGTATTTCATTATGATATTCTCATTTTCTCTTCTGTTGTAAATCCAGTGCACCCCTTTAAAGGCTCTATTCCATTATAAAGCCTCGTCCGGTTCTTTCAAACCAGGAACTCCGAGGGACGACTCAGACCACTTGAGTATATAAAAAATATAACCGTGCTGGTTTATTCAAAGAGTCACAGGCAAGAATTCACACTTCCAGTCCAGAGATCTTCCAAACCCCCAGCCTGCCAAAGCAGCCCGGAAGCAGGAAGACCCCGAACCACGCATTGCTATACAATATTAATCATTTCTGGGCTGTCGAACCGTGACGTCACCTGATATGCCAGCTTGGCAGCTGAGCAGAGCAGTAGACCAAACATGAAGAAAATAATGTGTGTGGCTGTTGTTTTCGTGGTGTGTATCTAAAACAATTTGACATAACATTACACATTAAGACAAATATTATGGTTACTTTTACCGTCATAATAACATTCGTCCCTGACTTCAGCTGCCTTAACCAACCTTGCATTTAACAGCCTGAGGAAGACATCCTGGCTGCACTAACATTCCTAGACAACAAATCTCTGAGTATCTATCTAACTAAAAAATAACCTAACACCTTCATCACGCTACAATTCAAGATTTTTAGGTTGAATTTTTTTGAGGGTGGAATCTCAGTGCCTGCAGTCCACATATCGAAGTGTCCTTGGGCAAGACACTGAACCCCTCAAGTTGCCCTTGATGGCAGCGTGTCTGCACGCAGTGGCCCGGGGTGCCCCAGGGCCCCTTGGCTCCAAACAAAATTTCGTTGTACGTGTTACAATGACAATAAAATAATGCTGCTGCTTCTTCTTGCAATGAATGCAAAAAAAAAAAAAGAAGTCAAACATATAACTTAACTTGACAACACTTAAGCTTGTTACCATAGGTGCAATAAAATCTATGGGAATAAAATGTCAGAATTAGCACAGAAGCAATAATTTAAGCTTTGTCTGTAGTCCGTCATCAGCTTGTTAGGTTATTTCTTAGTTAGATAGATATGGATTAGAGATCTGTTGTCTAGAAATGTTTAGTGCAGACAGGGGGACTAGCTTTGCTGTAACTATTCAGCCTGCAGTGAGGACTGCAGGCACGCCAAGGTTACAGGAAAAGAGCTTTTAGGGTCAACTGTAATGCTAGTCTTAATATTTGTCTTAATGTGTAAGGTTATGTCCAATTGTTTAGATACACACCACGAAAACAACAGTCACGCACCTTGACTTTTCCTCATGTTTTGGCTAAACGATAGAGCAGCTGCAAAGCTTGCTTATCGGGTGGCGTCACGGTTTGACGCCCCTTGTAGCATGGGCTAGCCCAAAAATGATTAATATTATATAGGTTGTTGGGTCCAGACTTCCTCAGCTTTCTGCTGCCTGCGCGCAGGTAGAGGGGTGAGAGAGCTCTGGACGTGTACTGTGAATTTTACCTGTGATCCTCTGAATAAACCAGCACGGTTATTTTTTATAAAATCTAAAGCAGTCTCTTTCGTCTCATTGAGAGTTCCTGGTTTGAAAGAACCGGAAGAAGCTACAAAGAAATAATAGCTTATAAGCTTGTCATTTTTCAGTAAAATCTTATGTAAAGTTCAAGAAGACCCAGGGCTTAATGTTCCAGGGTGCAGTGCTAAACTCCAGGCACAAAGTGAAAGTGTGCATCTTCAAATGTGTTTTGATGACCACAGACACAGCTCACTTTATGTGCAGTCACTGCGCATGTTTGTGGGGGGGATTATTAGTGGGTGCAGGTGGAGTCATTAGTTCAGTCCAATCAAACCAGTTCCCCGTTAAAGAGCAGGGCGGAAACATAACTGACTGATGTCAGGACGTGGAAATAAATGAGAGGAAAGACTTGTTCTTTACTTAGTCACAGTGCATAGAGTTTATTGCTGTAAGATTTAAGTCTTATAGACTCTAGTTACTTTAGCAGTTTTAGTTACTTCTCATGCCTTTAGTTCCCTTTAGTTACCTTTCATAACTTTATCTTACCTGATTACAGCTGTATTGATTATTGTGCATTACTGAGCCCTGGTTATTTTCTAATACAGTCATTCTCCTTGCTTATATGTCTTACAATTTGAATGAGGTAATACGTCAGCTTATTGTCTCACACACACACACACACACACACACACACCTAGACAAAGAGGCTCCGGTTTACATTAAATGGAGAATAGTGCAAGACTTGATTCTTATAGGCCCTAGTTACTTTATAATCTTTAGTTACTTTTCTGTTCATCATTGTCTTTCAGGTACTTTTCATATGTTTACCTTCCTTGCTTACACATGGTAAAACTGTACTGATGATTGACCAGAATTACTGAGCCTTCATTACTTTAATACATTTAATTCCATTTGTGCTGATGGGAGTCAGGTGATACTGAAGTATAAACTGATCACTTTAACTTCTGTATACACTCAGGGTCTGCACGCAGGTCCTGCTTTGTTATATAATGGGATTACACAGATGGGGGGTCTGCGGCACAGAAAACCCATTGTTTGGTTGCCGCCTAGAAAGTGCACAGATAGGGGGTCTGCAGCGCAGAGGACCCATTGTTCTGCTGCCGCCTGGAAAATCACATGACAACACACCTGGTTTCGTGGTACTTCTGTCCAGGGCGGAGCAGCCCAAGAAGATAAATGTATTGTTAAAACATAGTTTATGGCTCAGAAGTCAGATTTCCTGCGGGAGCTCTGGCTGTCTCAATCCAGCGCTGTAAAGACTTTCCTGTGATCAGACTTCCAGTAAACTTTCTGTTGATTTTAAACAGTCCTCTCCTGTCGTCACTTCTCGTGCTTCCAACAAAAGAATTGGGTTAATTTCTAACGAAGAGGTTAGATTCTAACATTGCCAAACAAAAAACATAAAGTAAAGAATACACAGGCCTCAGAAAATCATTTCTACAGGTGCTGGTTTGTTCATGTGTGCAGTTTTAAGAGACGAAATCATAAAGTCACAATTGGACACACAGTCACAAATAGAAAATTTGTGTTCAAAATAATGAGCAAGTTTCACCTCAGTCACTGACCATGTCTCTACTGTACATTGGCCTCACGAGAGCCAGGCTGCAGGATCTGAAGAGTGACAATGAGTTTAACAGATTTTCTAAACCAGGGATAAAACAAGGCATATATCACAGGGTTTAGACAAGAGTTAAAATAGAACACATAGACTATAAAGGAGGCAGATGAAGCATTGAGCAAGTTCTCCCCTGTAAGAGCAAGAATGTAACATGGGCAGTAACACATTATAAACCCAAGAACAAGAACACCCAGAGTCCTGGCTGCTTTCAGCTCAAACTTCTTTGTTGTTAGAGTCACTGAACACTGCAGAGTGACAGCTGTGATGTGAGAGCGCATGGCACGGGCCTGAGACATGGCCACCACAAACACTCATATACAGAGCTATGATGGCTGTAATGGGGACAATGAAGTTAAACACAATGTCCATGACTCCTGAAGTATAATCAATGACCATCACACACTGACCATAGCAGGAGTTATATCTGCCTGGTAGAGTGAAGTCATCCTTTAAAACAAGAATGGTGTAAGAAAAATTATAGAACCAACACAGACAAACACAGAGTTTAACTCTTCTCACAGTGACTCTGGTGGGGTAATGCAGAGGGTCACAGATAGCAATGTAACGATCGACTGATATAAGAACCATGTCTCCTATTGAAGTACCAGCTATGATGTAGGATAAAAAATGATACTGTGAACACATCACATCACCAAGAAACCAGCAGGTGGTTATTCTGAGGATTTCTCCAGGCATCAGCAGGAGGCCCACAAGAAAGTCTGAGACAGCCAGAGAGAGGAGGAGGATGTTAGTGGGTGTGTGGAGCTGCCTGGAGTGAAAGAGAAAAGAGCAAATTAGCCAGCAAGGCAAGACATAAATGGCCCATTTTTTTAAACAATCACTTCAAAACACTCTGCTTTTTTCTGCTCTGCCACCCCAGTTGTTAATCTGTGTTTAAACTTCAGTAGTTAAAGCTTCATTGAAGTCATGGTTCAAAGAATGAAGGAATAGTGCAGGTAGAAGATTTCTAGTGTGACATCATGCACAACATGATTCATTTATTGTTAAAATCTAAGTGTTCATATTTAGTGAATCTCTGCCTGAAGTGAGAGACTGAGATGATGACGAGCAGGTTGAGAGCCACCGTGAGCACAGAGATGGAGGACAGCACAATGTGAAGCAGCACAGCTTCGAACCAAGGAGGTGACGGCTTCCTGCAGGAGGTGTTGAGGAGCTCTGGGAAGCAGAGCTCTGCTCCGTCCTGAGACTCCATCACCAGAAGAGAGGAGAAGCTGCAGCTCTGGCAGCTCTCTGTCTGAGGATTTCTGTCAACAGAAAACTGGCTTATCTTTCTGCCCATCCTTTCATCCCTCCCCTTCTGGTCTCTGTTGGACACTGATGTAACACAACTTCATCATCTTCATCACTTTCTTTATAGTCCTGTTTTACTCTGTTTCTACGTTACCTTAGTCTCTATCCTTCAATGGGAAAATAATGTTTTATAGGGAACAGGGCATTCTCTGCAAGTCTGGGTCTAAGGGCTTTTTCTGTACACCAGAGATTTTCTACTTATTCACTTTGTGCTGCAGTTTCACATTTATTACAGATTAAAATCTTCTACAGCATTCTTTTAATGTGATGAAGTCAAAACACATTAGATGATTGAGAATCACCAATAATTTCTCCTTGTCCCTGTTGTACCCCGTACTTTTACCATACTGACTCTGAGAGACGAGGCAGTCCAAGTAACTACAAAACAGTGCTGATTTATTCAAAGGATCACAGGATTGTCAAACCTGCAGTAGAACACATTCAGGTTGTCTACTAGTTGACGGTCCTCCACAGCGGGGGGGGGGAAGGTTTCCTATAGCGAGTGATGCTTTTCAGGTCCAGTCTGTGCAGTCAAAGCAGGCCTGTAGTTCTGACTTAGCCTCCTCAGTCCAGCTCTTCACTGTTTTCACTACAGGCTTTGCAGCTTTAAGTTTCTGCCCATAGGTTGGAATAAAGTGGAATATACAGTGATCAGAGAGTCCGAGGGCTGCGCTGGGGACAGAGCGATAGGCATCTTTTATTGTTGTGTAGCAGTGGTCCAGTGTGATTTTTGTCCCTGGTGGGACAGGTGATGTGCTGTCTGTATTTCGGCAGTTTGTGGGAGAGGTTTGCTCTGTTAAGTCCTCTGGGAACAATGAGTGGAGAGTCAGGATGTTCTAGCTCCAGGCTAATTATCTGTTCTGTCAGGAGCCGTAGTGCACTACCGTGGGCCTATGGTCTTATGTACACTCCGATTAGAATGAAAGAGTTAAATTCTCAAGGAGAATAAAAAGGTTTGCAAATGATAAGAGTCTCTAAGTCTGTGTTACATGTCCTCTGTAGCTGTTGTGATGTTGCGTAGCTCGGCTTCCCGTATTTATGTCTTTGTTTACCTTGTCTCTCCCCCCTGTCCTGTCACCGCAATTAGTCATCATTCCACTCACCTTTTGCTTGTTATCCCCCGGTCCTGTTCCCCGCTGTTCTGCCACCATGACATTCACGTGCTGCTCATTATCTCCCGGTCCGGTCCTGTACATATACACCTGTTTTCTGTTCATTCGCTGCTGGTTCATACTCTATGCATCATGTGTATGTGTCCCGAGATTACCATGCTTCGACTCCATGTTCCGGTCCTGCTCTACCCATTTCTGTTAGTTTCTGCAAGTTCGGCAGCCCCACATACTCTGCACTTGGTCGGTCAGCAACCTTCGCCATTTTTGTTTTGTCATGCGTAAGTCCTTAGCCATCAACGTATTCACACAAGGGCGAACATGTAAGTCTGGGCCCAGTGTCAGTTTGACAGACGGGCCGGGCCAGCACCAGTTGCATACATATCAAACATAAACATATAAAAGGCATTACAGTGTTAATACTTACATTCACTTTTAGTGGGAACAGTGTTGTTGATCACCATTTTTTGCCAGTGCATAGAAGTCTGGTGTTAGTTTTGTTGTGGCAATTCTCAGAACAGATCTGAGGTGTTCATCACTCAACTGGGATCTGTGGGGTGATTTGTTGGTGTTCATCACACTAAAAGTCTGTTCACACACATAGGTAGAGCCAAACAACACCAGCATCCTCTGTGCCATCTTCTGGATGTTTGGATATTTGGCTGCACTTAATGAAGCATAAAATTCATCCAGTTTCAGAGAGTTGAACTTCTCCTTTAAGACAGTGTCACATTGGAGATCAATCAGTTCCAACTGCAACTCCTGTGGCGCCGTTTCAGGGTCTTGTGTGAAGGGACATGACGCCAGCTGAAGTGACTTGTCAATTTTTCCAAAATCGGAGAACCAACGGCAGAATTCTCCGTGCAGGTCGTCCAGTGATTTCCTGTATTTTTTCACATGCCGAGGGGCCTCTTTCAGCGTAGAGACATTTGCTTTGAGAATAAAGCTAGTTTGGTTTTGAAGGCTCTGACGTTTGTGAACATTTTGTGCACAAACTGATCTTTCCCTTGTAGCTTCACGTTCAGCTCATTCATATGTGTCAGTATGTCCCCAGCAAAAGCTAAATCACAAAGCCAATCTGAGTCACTCAGCTCAGGAAAATTGTCAGCTTTCTCAAGTAGCTCCAAAAATGAGCTAATCTCCTGTTTGAGCTCCCACACTCGTTGACATACTTTCTCCAAACAGCGGACATTAGAGTGATAAAGCAAGTCCTGGTGATCAGTGTCAGTTTCTTCAAGAAACTTTACAACTTTATAACGAGCTTTACAATTGTTTTCACTACGTGGTCAAGCTGCAATACGGATTTACACAGTGCTTCCTGGTGGATTATGCAGTGTAGTAAAATTACCTCCTGCTTAGGGTTGTCCTCTTTCACCCTCTCCTGGATTCTTTTGAGCACCCCGTCATTTTTTCCAGTTACTGTAGATTTGAGGATCTATCTGTGGTAAAATTGGCAAGTGTACTCCAAGGTAGCTTGTGCCTCTCGACAACCCCCGACACTCTGTCATACTAGTCCTTTCCCCGCGTTTTCCCCTTTAGGGATTCCATGGCCAAAAACTCTTCCGTTATCTTAAAATTGTCATTAATCCCTCTGATAAAAATTAAAAGCTGAGTGGTGTCCTTTATGTCATTACTTTCGTCCAGTGCCAAGGAATATAATGTAAATGACTCCGCTTTTTTGTTTAGCTTGCTAGCTAAGTCTTCGTCAATTAGTTCAACACGGCGAGTCACTGTCCTGCATAATAAGCTAATTTTTTCAAATTTGTTCTTGCTCTCAGGACACAAGATACCTGCTGGCTCTACCATGCACTCTTTGAGAAACTCCCCTTCGGAGAAAGGCTTGCTGGCCTTTGCTAATTTGAATGCCAGCAAATAACCTGCCTTCATGCTTGATTCTTGGATGGCAGTTTGTTGGATAAAGGTGTTTTGCTGAGCCTGCAAACTAGCTGCCAGCCTCTGAGCAGTAGCCGTCCGTTCTTGCGTTGACTGGTTGTTAGCATAATTAGCATGCTTGGTAGAAAAGTGACGGCTGATGTTGTATTCCTTTAAAACCGCAACGGTTTCTTGGCAAATAAGACATACAGCCTTTGACTGGACTTCAGTAAAAAAATATTTAGTTGTCCATTCCTTATTGAACACTCAGCACTCACTGTCGACCTTTCTTTTCTTTGGCCGACTCATTGTTACAGATGGGTTCAGAGCAGTAGCAGAGTAATAACTGAGAGTAGCCCTGGCTCCGCAAAATCAAGTCAATGTATCACCGCGCCTAATGCGCCACCTGGTGGAACGCCAGGCATTACAGGACAAGGTCAAATGAATGCAGTCATAATTATGATATGATTTGATTTGGGCAATCCTGTGCCAATGTTCGGCGGGCCGGATGTGTCCCGCGGGTTGTAGTTTGCCCGCCCCTGGCTTAGTGTCTGATATAAAGTGCTCTTGAACGTAGCTCTGCTTTTCATGTGTTTGTGCTGTTTTTTTTTTCCTCTTCTGATTACCTCAACTTCGACACAAGCAATCTGGTTGTGTATCTGGGTCGCCAGAGTCAAGAGGAATCCAACCCCAATGAAGTGAATCGGACAGTAACAAGGATCATCAGTCATCCCAACTACAACTCCATTACTAAAGACAATGACATCTGCCTCCTGAAGCTGTCCTCACCGGTGAATTTCACCGACTACATTCTGCCCGTCTGCTTGGCGGCCTCAGGCAGCACCTTCTACAACGGCACTGACACCTGGGTCACTGGCTGGGGCACCATTGGAAGTGGAGGTGGGTCATAAAGCAAGTAGAACACATTTACTTTCAGACAGCATGACTAAAATGGTGATGGTGCTGGACCAAAGATCATTAAAAGTGGCATGTGGAGTTTAACTATAAACAAATAAAGTTATGTTTACATTCAATTTCTCACTAAATCACATTGTGTAAATGCAAGAACTGTGTTATGTTTGTTATCTTGATTGTATCCCACTTGCAAAGCAGGCTTTCTAGATATTTAACTTGTGCATTCTTTACATCTATATTTGATTGCTGCCAGTCTTCTTTTTCATTACCTTTGATGATGCTTTTCTACACTTAATTGTGTGTTACCGCCACCAATCTGTTGATCTGTAGAACAGTGAAAGTTGCAGCAGAAATGTGAATCACATCGTCTGCATCCTCGTGCCTGTGCACAACATAAACAAAAGAGTGATTCACTTGCGAGAACATTGCTCCACAACACTACTAGTGGTCAAAACCTCCATAGGCGACCTTTAAATCAAATGGGTTCATTTACCCAAGGAACATGAATATATTTGTTGTGATGAAAAGGTTTTCCAATCAATTTTGAATATTTCTTGAGAATTCTTTAACAAACTGTGTGTATAATTGTCAGTATCATTATCAGTAGTCCATTTTGTGTGAAGCCCTGTGCTGATCAAGCTGAATTTGTGTCTTGTTAGTGCCCCTTCCCTCACCACAAAACCTAATGGAGGTGGAGGTGCCAGTTGTGGGAAACAGACAGTGTAACTGTGAAAATGGAGTGGGCAGTATCACAGACAACATGATGTGTGCTGGGTTAAATGCTGGAGGGAAGGACTCCTGTCAGGTGATCATTTTTACACCTGTTTGTGTCAGATCTTACCTCCTGCAGAGATTGCTTCTCCTAAATGTTGCTCTCTGTAAAAGGGTGATTCTGGTGGTCCACTGGTGAGTAAGCAGAGCAGTCGCTGGATCCTGGCTGGAGTTGTGAGTTGGGGATACGGTTGTGCTGATCCTAATTTACCAGGAGTCTACACCAGAGTGTCCCAGTATGAAAACTGGATCAACAGCCAGATCACAGGCGACCGGCCAGGCTACGTCACCTTCAAGTCCAATGGAACTGACGGTGACCTCAGCGTCACCTGTCCGAACCTGCCGCCACCTCTGACCACACCCCCTTCAACAACCGAACGTGAGTTCCTGCCATGT